AGCTAATCTTTAAAGATCTGTGTTATTTGAAACAAGAATATTAATTATGTATTAGATAAAAGACCAATCATTTGTGTTTATTCATCCATGAGAAAACGCTCCATGTTGGTTCTGTATTGGAAGATGGGCTTTGCGAACCCGACACTTCCCTTATCTTCCTAGATGCTCTGTGGTCTTTGGATCGAGCTCCCGCTTTTCAGCAGTCTCTGCCTTCTGTCCGGCCTCTTCCTCCTCTGGGGGGCTCCTTCCCCTGTGTCCTGAGGCCATCCTCCTGGGGACAGCACCCACCTCCTTGTCTGGGACCCTGTCTGATCCTCTGCCCACGGTCTGCCTTGTGTTTGCATACGTGTGCACACGCAGCAGCACCTCAACCCAGTGGTCCCCACCTCGGGGGCAAGCCCCAGGCCCACTCCGATCGCGTTTGTGCCTCCCCTCTCCCTGCGGCCGCCCGTGATGCACTGATGACGCTGAACGAGGGGACAAACCCGTTGGACCACAGTGTGTGTGGAAGGTGCAGGGTGCCCAGTAGAGGCTCCCTAGGTGCTCCACAGGGACATCAGCACGTGGCGTAACTGAGCACTTCCCCACCCTAGTGATGTGCGCTCCTCCTGCACTTCTCACAGGAACGCTTCTCGCTTAAGAAACGGGGACACTGAGGCCCGGGACGGTGGTTGCTTGCCCAAGGCCATCCAGGCGGGAAACAGTGGCGTCAGGATCCCATCTCCGGCAAACCTCTGACGCCCTCTGACCTCCAAGCGCAAGCCAAGCTCCGCACGCTCCCCAGGGGGTCTACGGAAGCGCGCGCCACGCTGACGGACACACGCACGGGCATTCCCAAGAGCGGGGTCGGTTCTCAGGGCCCCTCAGGTCGCGCCTGTCCTGTGGGGTCCCGCCGCCCACCTGCCGGCCTCCCCGCCGTCCTGACGGAGCGTTCGCTGGGTCCCAAAGAGCAGGGGGCGGGGGCGGGGGCGGCCCCCATTCCCGGGGCCCCCACCACGCAGCCCCTGGACCCTCCCGCCCGGTCGGGCCGGGGGCAGCGCGGGGCGGGACTCGCGCCGCCTGTCGGTGCGGCCCGGAATGGCGGCTCACGGGGCTCCTGCCTTCGGTCCCCAGCGCTGCCGCCTGGCCCCCTAGCTTCCCACCCCAGTCCCTCCCCACAGCAAGGGGCGGCGGAGCGGGCCTGGGGACGAGGGCGGAGGGGACGCGGAAGATCCCCTCCCATCTGCTCCCCGGTGGGCTGCTGTGAACCGTCCCGAGCAGGATCACCACTGGCCAGCGTCGGGAAACGGAGGCGCAGAAGCGCGAGCCTGGGCCAGGGGTGGAAGGTGGCGTGCGAAGGACCCGGCCTTCGGGGCGGGACGGGGGCGAGGGGCGAGGGGCGAGGGGCGGGGCAGCGGGCGGGGCAACGGGCGGGGCCGGGGGCGGGGCGGGGCCGCGGCTGGGGCGGATCTGGGCGGGGCCGTGGATGGGCGGGGGTCCGGGCGGGGCAGTGGGTGGGGTCTAGGCGGAGCCGTGGGTGGGCGGGATCCGGACAGAGCAGTGGATGGGCGGGGTCTGAGGGGGCTGCTGGTGGGCGGGGCATGGGCGGGGCAGCGGGCGGTTAGAGCGGTGGGTGGGCGGGGTCTAGGCGGGGCAAATCTCTGATCGGAAACCTACATTAAATTGATTCTGTCTAGAGATTCTACTTTCTGGAGCATCCATGAGGTTACAGTTTTGCCTAAAATAGGTTTTCTTTCTATGGCGGAAGAACAACTGGCACCTTGGCTGTGAATTCTTGGTGAGTCATCAGCAACCATGCACTCAGTGTGAAACTGTGCTCAGCTGTTAGTTGCTATTTACTTGTCAGCAGGGGAGAGAAATGAGATGAGTTAATTGGTGTGTGCAAGTGCCTGGCTTTGGAGAAAACATGGTCAGTCCCTTTTTAGTTCCTCGGTCTATTTTTTTTTAAGCATCAGGGAAAGAAACTTAAGAAATGCTTTTCCATAGTCAAATGGGATAAAAATTTCACATTATGTAAAGAGACTCTTTGCGTATCATCCACAGATGGCAGATATTCCTTCTTTCCTCCACCTTTCATAGTAAAGGACCCCTGGATGGTGCTCTAGACCAGAGTCCACTGCACAATGTCACACAGAAACCAACTGTGTGGAATGAGCTCTATGTTTCAGAAACAAGACAGGTGACGGGCAGTTCCATGATTAAACATAGTTACTACAGGACCCAGACATTCCACGCCGACATAAGGGACATAAAAGCATACGTCCACACAGAAACTTGTACACAAATGTTCAAAGCAACTCTATTCTCAGAGCCAAAGGGTGGAAACAACCCAAATGTCCACCCACAGATTAATAGATAAGCAAAATGTGGTCCATCCACACTAGGGAATATTATTCAGCTTTAAAAAAGGAAGAAAATTGTGACACTTGCCACAACATCATGAACAGTGAAGACACGCTAAGTGAAACAACCCAGTCACAAAAGGATGAATATTGTATGATTCTATTTATACAAGGTTCCTAGAGCTGTCAAATTCAGAGACAGAAGGTAGAATGGTGGTTTCCAGGGGCTGGAGAGGTAGATGGGAAGTTAGTGTTTAATGGGGACAGAGTTTCAGCTTGAGAAAGATGAAAACACTCTGCAGATGGTTGGTGGTGATGGTTGCACAGTGTGAATGTGCTTCATGCCACTGAGCTGTACACCTAAATTGTATGTTATATATATTTTACCACAATTTAAAAATAAAAACAAAACAAAACTGGAGCTGTGTTGCTGTACCAACCAGCTCCGACATTGGAAGCTATGGTCAGGGCCTCCGGTCCTCCCAGTTGCTCTGAGCCCTCCTTTCCTCACTATGGTAGTAATGACAAGCTCCACCTCTCAGGATTGCCATGAGGTCAAAGTGGGCAACCACAGATGTCCCGGGGCTCTCACCATAGGCCTGGACCACTCTATACCCTTGCCCCTGGCCCCAGGGACAGTGTGGGAAGATTCTCCTCCCCTCTTCCCTGGAGTCACACATGACCTGCACTTAACACTTAATGTCACAGTCGGAGGAAACTGAAATCGGTCACAATCCGCCAAGAGGTGTTCATGGGAGCTGTTTTCATTTCAAGGTGAGGGTTGCCATGTGCAATTCTGGAGACATTTTTAGTGGTTACAACTGGGAGAGGAGTGCACTGGCTTCTAACGGATAGGGGTCAGGGACACTGCTCAGCATCCAGTAATGCACAGGACAATCCACCACAAAGAATAATCCTGGAGCTGGTTCAGACACCTTGCTTTAGACCCCAAGACCATCCAAGGGCACCAGGAAAAGCTAGCTGAGGAATTGGTGGGCACAAACATCCCAGCCCCCGCTCTCAGTGGGCAGAACTCCACACTCCAGAACTCATTCTTGCTCTGGGTAGGCCCAGGGGCCCTCCCCACCATGGGCCCTGTTGTGGACTGAATATGCCCCCTGAATCCATATATTGAAGCCCTAAATCCCAGTATGGTAATACCTGGAGATGCAGCCTTTGGAAGGTAATTAGAGCCAGATAATATCATCAGAGTGGGGCCCTTCTGATGGGATTAGTGTCCTTAGAACTCCCTGCCACGTGAGGACATAGGAAGAAGGCAGCCATCTGCAAGCCAGGAAGAGAGTCTCACCAGGAACCAGAATAGCCAGCACCTTGGTCATGGACTTCTAATCTACAGAACAATGAGAAGTAAATATCTGCGGTTTAAGCCCCCAGGCTGGGGTATTTTGTCATAGCAGCCTAAGCTGATGAAGACAGGCCCCTTCTGTTTGTGAAATCTGCACCTGCTGCTTGTGGCAAGGGAGCACATTTTCCAATCGCTGTGCCTTTCCCAGAGCTGCAGATAGCCCAGAAAGTGGAGACGGTAGGTGTGCAAGTGGGTCACTTGAATTAGATGGGATGCACAAGAGTGCACCCAGACCCCATTCTGCCCAGCATTGAGTGCACCGCCAGGCTCACCCACATCTCAAGGGTGGAGCCCCGGGGGTCGTCCGATGGGGACCTTGATTACGCATACTCAGAGGATATTCTAAGACGAACGATACAAGGTTGCCAAGCATGAAGAGATCTTCCCTGTGGGTTGCTGCCATAGTTTCCTACTACAGTTGATTGGTCCAGAGGTGGGCATGGATTCCCATCAGGGCCGATACCTACATGGGAATTTTGGTATTGGATCTGAGAGCCAATCAGGCCAATCTCTCTCCACCGCCCATTACCCCCTAGATGGGGAGAGAAGTCTGGGGGCTGGAGGGTCCTCACTTTGTCCTCTCCCCCAGCTCCCGCACATACACACATTCACACAAGCGGAGGCCCATAGATGCACACGAACAAGCACGTAGGTACACACACGAACACGTGCACACGTACACAGGCGCACGCGCACACACAGGCACGCGCACCACGCGCTCTGGGACAAAGACGAGGTTCTGGAGGAACCGTGGGGGACACCGCGAGCCCAGGCTCACCGGTACAGGGACGCTTGACACCAGGCGACCTGGCCCTGGCCTCCCGGCTGCTTGTCCGCGAACGGAACCCGCCCTTGCGGCTCCCCCACCCGGCCCAGCGACGTCTCCAGGTGGCAGGACGTGGAGGAAGCGGCATCCGGGTAGCCATCCCTGCAGCCCGGCCCACGCCCCGGCCGGGCATCGCCCTCGCCACTCCACAGCAGCGCGAGACCCAGCCCAGCCCCTCACTCCCCGCCCCTGGCTCCGCCCCACCCCGCCTCCGGACCTCATTGGCTGTGGCTGTAACAACGTCGCCTTTGGTCCCCGCCCTCCGCTCCGCCCCTGCCCCGCCCCCAGTCCCGCAACAGCGGCGACTAACAGATCCTCCTGGGAGGGGCGGGTGGACTATGGCCTGGAGGCGGAGACGAAAGAGAGATGGACGGGCAGCCCAGTCAATGAGCGCGCGCAGCCGCCCTAGCAACTGCGGCTCGCCAATGGCGGGGCGGGGCGGGCGTGGTGGGGCGGGGCTACGCGCTGTCAGCTGCGGGGGCCGCCGGCCCGCTGCGATCTGCGGACAGCGGGGCCCGCTCGGCGCCTCGGTGCCCGTCGGCCGCCTCTGAGCCGTCCCGCGGGCCGGGCATGGGCGCAGGCGGCGGCGGCGGCACGATGAGCACCCTGGGCAGCCCTGTCCGCGCTTACGACTTCCTGCTCAAGTTCTTGCTGGTGGGCGACAGCGACGTGGGCAAAGGCGAGATCCTGGCGAGCCTGCAGGATGGCGCGGCCGAGTCCCCGTACGGCCACCCGGCGGGTGAGCGCGGGGCTAGGACGGGGGAACAGAGCCCAGGGAGCGCGCGGTGGGCCGGGGGAGCGCAAGGGGGCCCGGGGAGCGCGCGGCTAGCCGGCGGTGGGGTGGGGGCGGGGCCTGGGGAGCGCGCGGCGGGTCCGGGAGCGCACGGGAAAGCAGGGGGACGCGCAGCGGGCCGGGGATCTGACTGGGGGCCGGGGGGAGCGCGCGGCGGGCCAGGGAGCGCTCGGGAGAGCGCGCGGCGGCCTGGGAGGAGAGGGGCAGAGGGAGCGCCTTGGGCCCGGGGAACGCGCAGCGGGCCAGGGAGTGCAGGGTTGGGGGGACCAAGGGAACGCGCAGAGGGCCAGGGAGCGCACCGGCGACCCGGGGAGGGCGCCGCGGGCCGGAGTGGAGCCGAACCCAGGCACCAGAGTAGTGCACCGAGGAGCTGGAGGTGCGGGGACTGGGAGCGGGGCCGAGGGGGCGCAGAGAGGAGCGGGGGTGGAATGCGCGAAGGGACGCGGATCCAGGAGCGCGGGGCTCACCGCCCGCCTTTCTGCCTGAGTCGGGCGCGCGCTTCGAGGGAATCCCCCGCTGCACCCTCAGTTCCCACGTGGGGAAGACAGCGCGTCCTCCGTAGTCTCACCAAGGTCCGCTTCCCCGCGGGAACTAGCGGCTGGGCAGGGTGCTGGGGTACTTCTGACCCGGGATGACGGCGAGGCGGAGGGGAGCGGACGGACCACACAGGTGGGGTTTGGGAGTAGGTAGCCGGGCTGCTGTAAGTGGGCCCAGCCGGGAGGCCACAAGCGCGTGCAACGCGTTTGGAAAGGATGCGTGGGGGTTAAGGAGCGGCCGGGAGGGAATGGGGCGTGGGATCCGAGCGCAGCGGGCGGAGGCTCCCAGGTGGTGGCTCTGCGCGTGGGTGAGATGGAAGCGGAGGGAGAGAGGAAGCAAGAGAACTAGTCTGGACGCTTCTCCAAGGTTCCTGGCGTGTCCGAGGGGCTCCTCGCCCTGGCGAACAGGCCCGGGAGGGCAAGAAACCCAGATGACCCTCGAGAATGCGGCCTGAGGGCGAGGAAGGGAAGCACCATAGAAAGTGAAGGAGTGTGGGTTCCAGGTGGGGAAGCCAGAGGACTCAGAGCTTGAGGACAGTGGGCAGAGGGTCCCCAAAGTTTGAGGTTTGAGGGCCGCAGGCCCCAAGACGGGGTGGACATTAGGAGGGAAAGAAGGGCAGGGGAGAGGAGAGGAAAGTGAGGTGGGCAGAAAGCTGGGCCAGCAGGCAGGAGAGTCAGGGTCTTCACCCAGGCCGGCTGCCCCGACGGTGCAGGTCTGCAGGTCGGGTGGCTGTGAAGGGCACCTGCCTATGATCACCTTTTAACTGTCATGTCAGGGGCTCAAGGAGCACTTCCAACACAAACCTGGCTGCTCAGGGTCTTGCCCCTCTCTGTCTCCTGGGCTTGCAGTCGGGTTCTCCAGAAGCAGAAGAGGGCAGCCCGGGAAGTGGAGTCTTGATGTTCAAGCCAGCCTAGGTGTGCTTCCCGCCCTAACCGGGCAGCGTAAGCTTGAGAAGACAGTGCAGAGGAGGAAGTTTTGGGTCCAGGGGTCTTACTGGGAGATAACTTGATTTAAGGCAAGAGGGGCAGGAGGTGCAGGGCAAAAGTTGTGGTAGGACCCAAGGTGGGCTATGTGGGGATGAGGGATGTAAAAACAATAAGTGGTCTGCAGAGCTGGCAGAGGGAGGAAGACTGTGGCTTCTGAGCAGGGATGTGAGCGACTTAGGCGGAATGGCCTGCACCAGGCCTTTAAGATTGGAGGTGTGGGGGTGGGGAGAAAGTTGGGGAGAGTTTTGGGTTGGTTCTGGAGAACCGATGCCAAGAACCTGGACTCTTCCTGAAGCTGCCAGTGCGAGAGTCACCCAGGGGACTTGTGAAAATGCAGATTCTGTCTCTGATTCCAGATCTGTGTTATCCAAGGTGATGCCATCAGCCACGTGAGATTTTTTAAATTTAAAGGAGTGAAAATAAGATACAATGAAAGGTTCATATTAGCCACGTTTCAAGTGCTCAGCACTTGGCTCCTGACAGGTGTGGCAGAGCCCTGCTGGAAGGCTCAGCTCTGGGGCTTAAGTTGCAGGAGGGCAGCAGGTTTTGTCTGTTTGCTCCACAGCGGGGTCCTCAGGGCCTGGGCGCAGTGGGTGGAGGAGTAAACATTGAACAAATAAAGCACCAGGCTTTTAAACTGTGTGCCTGGGGGGAAGAAGCTGTAGTTTTGAGTTCCTGTGAGTCGGTGAGTGATGTGCAGCAAATGGGAGGAGTGTGGACAGAATATGTGTCCTGGTTGTTTGAACAGAGGCTTGGGTACGCTTTGTTGTGTTACTTTCTTTTTGTTATATGCGAACTGAGTACTTGTAAAAGCAACTAGTTAACGCTTTCTTCTAAAGGTTTTTCCTCCACACAGAGGGAGGATTTAGGTTAAAAAGACACTTTCCAGGAGATTGTAAGGAGTTGGCATCATTGTCAGTATTATTACTATTACTATTATTATTAAAGACACGTTTCACTTTGCATGAGTACTTCGAGGAGCATCGGAAGGGGAGGGCGTTCCCAGCCTCCTGTTCCCATCCTGTTCCCACCCCCTTACCCCCTCCTCGTGTGCACCCCTGTTGCTCTAAATTTGCCCCGGTTTCTGTACTGGGGCTGCAGTGCCCGCAGTCCCTCAGTGTCAGATGCTGACCATGAGTCTTTTCTCCACCACTGTGTCTCTGACTTCTGTATTTTGCTGTCCCTCTAATTAGCTACATTTCATTTCCAGCCATTTTCCAGGAAGGGCTCGTGAGTATTTTCATGTTTGAGAATGTCTGTCCTTTGTCTTTATCTGTGAACAGTATCTCGGTTAGGTTAGAATGTATCCTCAGGCTGAATGTTCTTTCCCTCCACACTTTGTCCCCATGGCTCCACTGGGCTGGCTCTCTCGCTCGCTCCCTTGCTCTGAGGTCCGCTGGTCTCTCCTTGTGGGTGATTTGCCTTTTCTTCAGAGTTCCTCAGCTTAAGCAGACCTTATCTCAAAGTCGAATGCTTGGTGTTGAACTTCTGATACACTGTGTACTCTTTGAATTTGCAGATTTTGTATTTAATTTCAGGGAAATGTACTTTATGTCCCCTAAAACATCTGTTACATTGATTGGTGTTTACATCAGGTTTCCTACTGCTGCTGGGCAAATTGCCACAAATTTAGTAGCTTACAACACAGATTTATTATCTGACAATTCTGGGGGGCCACCATCTCCCTGGGATGAAATTGAGGTGTTGGTAGGGGTTGTGTCGTTTCTGGAGGTGGCAGCAGTGAGTCTGTTTGCTTGCCTTTCCCAGCTTCTGGAAGCCTCCCGCACTCCCCGGCTCCAGGCCCCTTCCTCGCCTTCGAAGCTGACAGTAGTAATGCTTCCTGTCTCACGCTGCACCCCTCCAGCCTGACTCTCCCTCTTCTGCTTTCAGGAGCCCTTGTGATGGCACTGGGCCCATTTGTTAATCCATGATAATCTCTGTATTTAAAGATCACCCGGTTAGCAAACCTAATTGCTTCTGCAGCCTTACCTGCCCTTTGCCATGTAAGCTCCTAGAGTCATGTATTCTGAGGATTACAGCGTGGATACCTTTGGGGAGCTGTTACCATGCTGCATGCCGTACCCATTATCCTTGTGCTGGATTGGTTTAGTTGTGTTCCACATCCCTTCACTTCTCTCTCCCTGCTTGATCTTTTTATCTCTCTCTTCTGAATTTCTGTGGGCATCTCAAGCCTTTCCTATTTGTTGGTAATTTTTATTTTAGTAAACTGTTTCTAGCTGTTTCTAACCTTTTTATTAGTTTAGTAAATGATGTTTTGGTCTTCAGTTTTTTTCCTTACTCTTACAATTTTCATTTACAATTTTATTTTATTTTTTTAAGACTTTATTTATTTATTTGAGAGAGAGAGAATGAAAGAGAGAGCACATGAGAGGGGGGAGGGTCAGAGGGAGAAGCAGACTCCCTGCCGAGCAGGGAGCCTGATGCGGGACTCGATCCTGGGACTCCAGGATCATGACCTGAGCCGAAGGCAGTAGCTTAACCAACTGAGCCACCCAGGCGCCCTCATTTACAATTTTAAAAAATTTATTTAAATGGGGCACCTGGGTGGCACAGAAGGCTGGGCATCTGACTCGGTTTCAGCTCAGGTCGTGATCTCAGGGTGGTGAGATCGAGCCCCGAATCAGGCGCCGCACTCAGTGGGAAGTCAGCTTGAGATTCTCTCTCCTTCTGCCTCTGCCCCTCCCACTTGTGCTCTCTCTCTCTCCAATAAATAAATAAATCTTAAAAATTTTTCTTTAAATAATTATTTCATTAAAAAAATCTCTCATTTTGGGCGCCTGGGTGGCTCAGTTGGTTAAGCGACTGCCTTCGGCTCAGGTCATGATCCTGGAGTCCTGGGATCGAGTTCCGCATCGGGCTCCCTGCTCGGCGGGGAGTCTGCTTCTCCCTCTCATGCTCTCTGTCTCTCACTCTCTCTGTCTCAAATAAATAAATAAAATCTTTAAAAAAAAAAAAATCTCTCATTTTGCCAACTTAATGTTTGTTGGTTTTTTTATATATAAATTTTATTTATTTATTTGACAGAGACACAGAGAGAGAGAGGGAACACAAGCAAGGTGAGTGGGAGAGGGAGAAGCAGGCTCCCCGCCAAGCAGGGACCCCAGGATCATGACCTGAGCCAAAGGCAGACACTTAACGACTGAGCCACCCAGGCAGCCCACCAACTTAATGTTTTTGTTAAATTGTTCCATTGCATGAAGTAATTGGGATGAATGTCCTTCTGTTCCTTGGGTCATGTTTCCTTTCAGGTTGGGTTCTTTGTCTCTTTTTCCTTTTATAACTTTTTGTTAAAGTGTGATACACACGCAGAATAGCTGAGGGGCCCACCTCCTACTTTTGGGCCTGCTGGCCCTGGAGCCTCCCTCGGATCTGGAGGGTTGGTACCTCGTTCGGCCTCTTCTC